CACGTGGCTGGCCGACAGGTCCGCCTGCGCCGAACGGGGGGAAGATGTCCTCATCATCCCCACCAGGCGCTGGCTTCAGCAGAGCCCCAGCAGTTCCCTACCTGCACAGGGCCAGAGGCCGAGGACATAAAATTCATATCCGAATTTCTAAACCATGCCAGGCTGGGGCACACTGCCATGGGCAGCGGAGCGCTCATGAGTCTGGCTCACGGTGGCCCGTCGAGGGATTACTTCACTTCCGGCCTAATATCTATTGCTATTGCATAGGGCACCTCACGTCTGGCCTGAAAACCTGTCTCAGCTCCTAGGTCACCAAAGCAGGTGACTTGAGGTTATGTAAAATCTCTTTAGTGTGCAGGCGGTCAGTGCAAAACCGGGGAACTTCATTCAGCGCCATAATGGCCACCGGTGTGGAGGACGTGAACTGAGGAGGAGTCAACAAGAACGCCCTGGCATAGCTGGAGGTCTCTGTTTACATCCAGCAACCAGAAAAGACATTATCCCTCTGCTCCTTTGGTCTTCTCTGACATGCCCAGTGAGACCGTGGCTGAGATTGTCTCCCGCTCTTTTCCTCACTTTTTGGCTGGACATGGGCTGAAGTCCTGATACCCTGAAATCAGTGAAGCAGTTGCCACCAAAGCAGAGGCCGTGATTTCCCCGCTTGCTGGCCCAGCTGCTGCTGCTACCCCGATGTTCAGCTTAGCATCAGAACAAGGCTTTTTCCCTAAGCAGAAATATTCTGTGCTGTCATTAACGTGCTACATTCTTCCTGGCATCAGTCCCTTGACAACAGGCATGCAAAGTGCCTGCAAGCTCCTACTGCTCCTTGCCTGGTCCGGAGGGGGCTGCTGTGCTCTCCTGGCCACACAGCTGCAGCCTTTTAAGACCATTTACAGTCACTTCACAAGTCCACCTATTCTCTCCTCCTTTTCCCACTCTGTAGCAACAGGCAGGAAGTTAGCAAAGAGCCTTGGAGAACAGGAGTGATGTGTTCAGGACCACCGCAGGGTCCTTTCAAACTCTTAACAAAGAAGATCTCTTCTTGCCAGGCTGCGTTGGAGCTGCCTTCCCTGGGGTTATTTGCAGGATCTGCTGGAGTCCAACTACAGATGATTTGCAGGTACGAGATAGCTGTCCTGCGTGCACGAAGCTCTGTGAGCAGGTAGCTGACCCACATTACAAATGATTTATGGATTAGATGGAGGCTAAAATAAGTTATGTCCAGTTTGAGCTTTCCTACCTGTGTCTCTGCTTTTGCAGCACTGTGGGGTTATTGCTGCTTTTCTGAGTTCTTCGAGGCATCTAGGTGAAAATCTCCATACAGAATGAGCACTGAAGGAGGAAAGTGAACCTGTTTCACATCACAGAGCTGTCAGCTAAATTCTAAACTCGGGCTTTAGGGCAGGAGGGGTTTTGTTTCGGTGTTTTAAGCAGCAAAGTGAAAGTCCGAAGGAAAAAATCAGAAAGTGAAAGGAAAGGGCTAGAATTTTTAATCCAGAAACACAGTTCTAAAAAGTTAAGAATTACTGCATGTATATTTTGTCATCTTTGTTTCAGTTTTGCATTGTGAACAAGTTGATATGAAAAACTTTCTGAACATCATCAAACTGTTATCGTTCTACCCTGCAAAGTGAACTAGCTGCTGCTACAGGATAATGGTGAGCAAAGAGTCTCTGCGTGGGTTTGCACGAGAGCTTACCTTGTCTTGACCGTTTTTGTTCTCTGCAAAAAGTCAATAATCAGACTTATAGTTTTTGAAAAATCATACTTTTCTTTTAAAAAAAAGGATTTCATTTTTTTCCCCACAGGTGAGTTATACTACACCTAGTACTATAGCATCAAAGTTTCAAATCTCTTATGTATTGTTGGTGAGACATGAAAATGCATCAAATAAAGTGGCTCATATAATGCTGAGTTCAGAATACAGCAGAATACAATCCATGGCAGCTTCCCTGGGGAATATCCATTTACTGCTAGGTTAGCTTTACGGTTCATACAATAGTATTTTAGTATTTTAAGGGCAAATTGAGAACTACTTACCTTAGGTTATGACGACGCTGCTCTTAATAGAAATTTTCTCCTGCACTGCGCTCCCGTTTGAATTTATTCTAACTTTGCACCTTGCTCAAATGGTCCTTTCTCTGCTCTTGATGTTTATTTCTTTTTAAATATATTTATGTCCAGAATTTAAAAATGAATGCACAGAAAATGTTTAAGTCCAAAATGTGTGCCACTAAGCACATTGGAGTGGTCAAACTACTTACAGAAGTGGTAGAAATGCCACCAATGTACTGAACATGGAACCCAAAAAATACTTGTTTTTAGCCACCTAATGATGAGGATGACATCATGAATGAAAAAAGTGAAGAGGCTAGGATCAGAAATTGCAAGAGTTTGAGAGGAATTCCCCTGCTCTCCAGGCAGCTTGTAAAGTTTTAACACAAAGCAACTTTTTCTGATTGATGGTAGTAACGTGCTGTTTGCTGCGAACTGCTTCCGCTGAGAAGTTAACACAAAATGAGAACTTTGGGTCTTTCCTTGCTTATTCACAGTACTTCTGCAGTTTGAATGACTCTGAATGCTTTAATTAGCTCACATCTCTCCTCTGGTGCTATATTCTTTATGAAAACAGGATAAAAAGACGGTTTCTGCTCCCAAGTTTGTTGTAAAGCAATCACCGCAATGAGAACATGGTAAGAGATAATGCCATATTGATACAGGTGCTGCCTGACCAACAAACACGTGTTTTTCTTTAGAGGTTGGTCTGATGTTTTTCTCCTGTAGTAATTCCCTTGCATTGCAGAACACAATCGGGCTCCTCTTCCACAAGAACATCACCTTAAAATAGAGCTTTGCTGATTCTGAAGCCTTTATAAGTCTATAAAATGAATGTTTTCAGATGGCAGCTGAAAGTGGTTTTTCTTGCACTGCTAACCCCAGCCCATAGCTTTCATTTGCTCACAGTCTGTGAGCAAAATCTCTTTTTAACACTGGAGGAGGAAACTGCAGAGTGATCCACAAGGTGGAAATGTGGGATGAAGCCCTATTGCCAGCATAGTCCCTTATGCCAGCAAAAGTCCCTTACAATAAGACCTGGTCTGCTGGGCAGCGGCATCTGGAGAGACACCTCTGTATATGAGTCTTCTAAAATAATTTGAGATATCAAACAGTTTTGCAATGGAAGGAAAAGGAGAGGTTTTCCAATCATAGCTTTCTCAAGAGAGACTAAAATTCCCAAAGTCCAGCCCATCAGGACCAGCACAGTAAAATCCAGCAAGGTTAAGACACTCGTGCTCGCAGGAGAGCAGCCAGCCTGTCGGCCACTCAAGCCCACGAGTGGTTTGGGAACGGAGAGAAACTGGTCCTGGGAAGATCAATGTGTTTAAATAGGTGCCCACGTTGCTGCTGCAAACTCAAGCTAGGCAGGTTCGGTTATAATCATGCTAATGGGAGAAAATAACATCAGATAGTTGCAGCATAACCTGATTGAACCGAACTGCCTGTCATCTAAATGGATCCAAGTTGAGAAATCACTAAGCATATCACTAAGATACGCTAATATGCTATCACTAATCGCTGACCATATCACTAAGATGCAATGGGCTTTACTTGAGGGTATCTTTTAAGCTCACTCGGTCACTTCTATTTACGTGGTGATCAATTTCTCTCTAAACTTAATCTCAGCACACTTAAAATTTGTCAGTTGGAGGATTGACTTGCCACAGCATATATAAGGCTAGGCTCATCAGGAGTAATTATATTTATCGTTCTATGATTATGGTTGTGTGCATTTCCTTGCAGGAGCTGAAGCTGTAACTAAGGACAGGTCTTGCACACAGAGACACGCACTTTGTCACTAACTAAATCATCTTAACTGAGGAGTGTAGAAATAGTGCTAATTATTCTAAAACTGTGTGTGCCTAGTAACAGCTTGTTACTGTGAGGGGTTCTGGTCTGGTTTTTTTCCTTCAAATAAAA